CACAGCACTCATCTTAGGTGACTGAGTCTAACAGATACCGTTTGTGGGACTTTGGGCAGTCCACTGAAACTTCTCAGATCTCAGTTTCTTTTTCTGTCAAAGGAATTTATTGGGATAAGGGTTCCCTTCAGGTCTAAGATGTCTAAGACTATGAGCATATTTTTATATAAACAGAAAACCATTGTTAGTGTTCTCTTTTCAAAATGGGCTTGAATAAACCAACATAAATGCAAAGCCAGCATCTGGTTTCTTTATTGAAAACTAATGAGAACAGTAAGTTATGAGCATCACAATGAAACAAAGTCCTGAAATTGGTTCTCATTAACAAGCAGTAGAACATGTTGTTATATTAAAATAGGCGTTATTATGGGCCTTTGAGAAATAATTATTTCTGTTTTCCTTGAAATCAACTGTTGTGTCCCAAAGAGAGAATTAATACTCAAATAACCATCATGAGCCCATTAACAGTGCAGGACTCTCTCTCTCTCTCTCTCTCTCTCTCTCTCTCTCTTTCTCTCTCTCTCTCTCTCTGTTTCTCTTTCTCTTTCTTTCACTAGTATTTACCATATAGAAAGCTATGCATTGTCTTCATAAATTGGATGGAAATAGACACCATTGCTTTCTTCTATTTTCTTTTTAAGGCTATGAAATCCCTTTCCAATTTAGGATATGGTTTTAACAAACTCTACAGGGCCATGGTAGCATGGAATGAGTAGGAGGCAAGTCTAAGCAGGATTAGAATAGTCCTTGCTGATGTTGTCCAAATCTCCTTAAGCTTACCTTTCCAGATGGGTGAACCAAGAGGAGGGGCCTGTGCCTTGTACTGTTCCCTTGCCAGCATGAGGGGCACTTGGTTGTGCTCTGTGTTCTCTTTCCCAAAGTAGGGGCAAGTCTTCCATCTTCTGCCTGGAGGAGATCAGAGATGCCATTCTAATGGCTGTCATTCTTCTGACCTGGCCTGCCTTCAGGAATAGGAGAGAAATGAATGTCAGTCACCTCCCACCACTAGACCCCTAGCCTGAGCTGCCTAACACCTTGAGAGAACACCACCCTGAGGCCAAACCCGTACTGATGTTAATGCCTCTCATGAACTCATTTGGGAATCATTAACAAGCTCCCACCAGTTTCCCTATCCCAGAGATCTTGAAAATCTGGATGCCATTTTTACAGATTATTTTCTTCATCCCCCAATGATTGCTCTCTGATTTCCCTCCTCCTCAACTCAATGCTTACAGTGTCACACCCTAAAGCTACACTTCCTTTCCACTGTGCTCTCTGTATGATTTGCTCCATGAGCAAAAATTTTGCTTTCATATTAGACCTTTTCCTTTCTCGTTTCTTTCATTTTATGATTCTTACTGTGACCTGACTCCTTCCTGATGACTCAGCCTCCCTGGCCACTCTTTCTTTAACTCACTCTCCCTTTCTCAATGGCCAAAATGGGGCAAGTGTGGAATAATCTGTGCTCCCCATAGCCACTTTAAGATTCTCCCTCTGCCTTCATCACTCATTATCCTATTCTCTTTGGAGGTTCATTCAATCCATATCTATCACCCAATCAAAATCTAGTGGCTGTTGTCCACTGATATCCAGGCACCGACATCCAGATCACTCCTCTTCTTTCCTTAATTAGTTCAATGCCTAGCTTTTAGCCTTTCTTTCCTCCCCCAACTACTGCCCACATGTTATGGTTACTTCAATATACATATTGACAGTGCCTAGCACATAGTGGGCTCTTAAATACATATATATATATATATATATATATATATATATATATATATAACTGACTGTAAGAATATAGACAAGAGTATCTTTTATAAAATTGCTCTAACTAAAGGAAAGATAAAGCAAAGTAAGTCCTTAAAACCATAGAATTGGTGAGTTTATGGGCACATGAAAATCTATCCGAAATCTAGTCTTGAAAATTGTCTTTATGTGTAATTGGGAAAAATAGGATACTATTAAATTTAAGAAAAAAAATAAATCTAGTCTTACCATATATTGGTTTGGCCAATATACACTTTTACTTTGTGCCTATTTTTCACACAAAAAAGTTATGACTTTGACAACACCCAATTTAAGTCAGGTTCTCCTCATTGATTTACTATCTTTTTGACAAACATCAATGCCCAGCTTCGTTACTGTGCATGCAGGTGGTTATTTTCACCCCCGTTTATTTCTTTAAACCTGCCTTCCTCTAGTGATCTCTCCCTTCCAGGTTAAAGCCCAGATTATTATGGGAAGTCTCCTATTTCAATGAAACTCTCTTTAATCTGCCTCCCTCCTACCCAGGTGCTTTTCCCCTTCTTATGTTAATTCATGTTTACATGTCTATATTCTTGTATGCTTCAAGTAGAATGATAGCTCTGGAGTGCAAACTCTGGGGTTTTATTTATTGTTTGTTTGTTTTTGATGTTGGCTTATGGTGGTAAAAGTTTGTTGAATTGCAATGCACTGAGCCTATGATGTGTTGAGAGCAACATGTGTTTAAGCTAACAGAATGCAACATTCTGAAGACCTTTCTCCATTTCAGTGTCCAGTGCCTTTCCCTTCTGTAGGCTCTCTCTGTTCATTGATCCCTCATAATGCCTGAGGATTATAACTTTTCAGAATCTTTATAAGATCAAAAATGCTTTTGAAATAGGTTCATAATAATTTGCACTTGTATCAAGAGAAGGGAGAAAGGGAGGTATTCATCAATTATACAAGCTTATAAGAGCCTACTGTGTGCAAGGCATTTTACTAGGGAATGGGATTTTTAAAAAATGACAAATTAAAAAGAATTCCTTCCCTCAAAGAGCTTACATTCTGCTGAAAAATACAGCATGATTGCCTCCATTGCTATTAGAAAACCAAACAAAATCAACCACCGCCAACAAAATAATTATTTAACTGCCTTTCTAAATGTGTAGATAAATTCTAGTCAATGTTATTTTAATGAGCATTGGAGGAGATTTATGTTGGGTTGTCTATTTGCTTTTTAATAATTTCCCTAATTAAATATAGAAATTATAGAGAGGTATAGTGTGTACAATTAAAATGAAGAGTTATGTTTAGTTTGAGGCTCTTCGAAAGGAATATACTGCAATAAATAACTTAGTTCATTTTAAAGTTATTTCTTCCCACAATGAATTAGTCTTTTGAAATGAACCAATAAATGAAACTAAACTGCATTATTAGATAAAAGATTAAATGATAGTAATCACTGTCTTTTCTACACTGTACTTTCCCATTATGCAGTGTAAATGAATGATATTAGTAAGTTCTATTACTGCTTTCAGATGAGTTGGTCAAACTTTAATGCATTTTATTTAAATAATTTAAATAATTGCACTTCACCAGGTCTGTTTGGCCTACTTTAGTGACAAGTTCAGACTGGGACGTTTCATGCAATCAGTTAGGCATAGTTTGAATGTTCATAAGACACAAACCAATATAGGAAATTCTAGGTGAAATTCAGACATATTCATAGCTAATTTCCTGTCTCTGCCTCTTATAACCTTTCAAATCTCTCCTTCCCTTTGGCTACCTTCCCCAAGAGTATCCAGAAGTTCTTGCTGTACAGGAATCTGATACCTTACCTTAGTCTGCTTTTCTCTACACTGATTTCCATCCAGACTGTCCCTTGCCTTCCATCAAAACTTACGTGACCAGGGTCTCGTTGCTTCAAGAGCTCTATAAAGTGCAGTGTGTGTATGTGGTTTGTATGTGTCCAGGTGCTTATGCATATAGGTAGAGGTGTGTATGCATATAGGTGCAGGTAGAGGTGTGAATGCATTTGGATATGGATGTGTAGCATGGGGAGAAGGATTGGAGTAGATATTTTCTTCTGTCTTAGCTAGCACTCAATTGTGACCTCTCTTTAAGTCTGGAACTATTCAAAGAAAGATACCTAACCACAGGAATGCTGAAAAATGTTTAACAACTTGCTCTCCAGGAAAAGAAACATATGCACAAGATACACTTTTAAGTTTAGTTTACATTCTCAACATTTTCTCCATCTCTTTCAAAACTAGAGACAATCAAGAAAACAGTAAATCAAGCCCCAATTTGTAGCCTCCACTGATTCCTGAGAAGTCATCGCTCCCTGGAAAATTGAACAATGCTGTACAATCTGACTCCAGCACACTCTTGACCATTTTTCTCTTTTTATGGTGAAAGTAACCAACAGGCCAATTCATTTTACAATGATTGCATAGTAATAATAATTCAAATGTCTAAATTCCTTCACAATTAAAAACCATTACTACAACCTTGTGAAAAATGTGGTATACATATCATAATCTTCAATTTATACATTTCAAAAATGGAGAATGTTTAAGTGATTTTCCCAAAGATATACAAGTAGTAAGTTTCATAGCAACAACTTGACCTGAATATTTCATATCATGATTCTATTCAAGTAAGAAATTGACTTGTTATGTTAGCTTGGTGGTTCAAGAATAAATTTCTACAGTTTTGGACATTGTTTCTCTCCTGAATAATACTAGCTGACCTCTCACTGAGTGAACAGTGTTAGAATCAGATTATAGAAGAACTTAAATGCCAGTATTTAAGAAGCCATTTCAGTAGTCCTGGGGAGATTTCATATTGACTTGCTCTAGTTTCATGGTCATGAGTACAGTGTTGAACAGACATTCCAAGAGGTATTGACACAAGAATAGATCAGATTTAGGAACTGTTGGGATGAGGGGCTCGTATGTAGGATGAGGGAGAATGCCTGTCACACCATTATGAACTTAATAAATGCTGGTTGAATTCAACTGAATGACTAATTTTTTTTCTTTAAAATTCCATTGATATTTAATAAAATTTCAACAGTGATTCCTTCTCCTTCTTGTGGTAGGCAGGGAAGATCGACGCACCCATATATGTTGAACATTTACATGAATGTAGAAAGTCAATTTAAAATGTTATAATAGCACACTCTTAAATAATGTTATTCTATCTTAAACATTTTTCCGCTTTAATGCTTTTGCCTTTTTTTTAAATTTTAGGTTGAAGAAGCTCTGGAAGCTGTGAAAAATGCTACAAATGAGCAAGACCTTGCAAATCGCTTTAAGGAGTTCGGAAAAGAGATGGTGAAATTGAACTATGTAGCTGCCAGAAGACAGCAGGTGAGGAAACATGTGGAGTTACAGAAGAGATTTCATGTAATCATATAGGTTTTTTTTATTTGGCATACTACCTAAGATTTGCCAGATTCTTTTCTTGAATTGAAGCCAATTCCTTATGTCAGTTTCAGGAACATTTTTTTTTTTAATTTTTGAGATGTAGTTTCTCAACTCTGACTCAGTGTAGTTTCAAAAGAAAACATTTTATTCTGATACAAATGAAAAGTATCTTTCTTCTTAGCCAACTCCATGTTCCATAAAAATCTAGGATGATGACACCTAACATAGATGATCAATTTTGATTATATATAAGTGAGTGAAAACTCATATTAATTCATTATATTTAGCCAACCCCAGACCATGCTTACATCATATCCTGCCATCCACTAAGACACCATGGAATCCAGCTTTCCTTCAGATTTTAAGCCCTTCTCCCACCACCTTTCCCAATTCTTAGCTCTTGCTCTAAGAACAATAATTAAATGAATACTACCAATTCTACTGAAAGGGTAGACCAATTCTTGCCTTGTGGCTCCACTTAAATTTTTGGTGACTGTCTAGACCACAGCTCCCTTTGCTGACTACTGCTCATTTATATGTGTTCTATCCTGCTATTGGAGTGTAAGGTCCTTGAGTATAGGAAGTGTCTCATTTTTGTGTTATTCCCAGCACCTTGCCCAATGCTTAGCACATAATGGGTACTTAATGAAAGCTTAATGAAGGCCCTGAGTATATAAATGTTAGTCTGAGGTTATTTTTCTTAAACATAAAGCATGGCTTGAAAGCTAGGAATAGAGGTTAATGTTAGTTCTTCATTCATTGTCTTGCTTTGCATTTTTATCTAGTGCATACTCAGTAAATATTTTGTTAATATGTCAGAGGTCTTCAACCAGAGTCTGGATGACCACTTGTTGGCTTCTTTCACAGATTCTTTCACAGAAATGGTTTAGATTAGATGGACTTCGAGACTAGCATACTCTAAAATTCTATGATTCTCTGTGATTGTCTACTCCAGGCCCCTCAATTTTACAAATGAGGCTCTGAAAGAGGACATGACTTTCCCAGGATTTCTTATAAAGAAGAGTATTATCCTCCCTTCCCCATTAACATCAGCATAGAAAGACATGGGGAAAAAATTCAAACATGGTAATTTGATGATGGTGGTTGTGATGGTTGTTTTATATTATGCGTGTCTAATAGACCTTTGTAAGTCACAAGTAAAAAAAATATAGAGCTATTCATTTTGTATGAAAGCAGGAGACTGTAAGAATTGCCAAACTGACAAATAAAAAGACAAACAAAACAGAAATAATGTATTGAGGAAGAGTGTATAAGGTTGTCCTTTTCTATATCACTCTCAGAGGCTAAGAACATCCCCCAATGGGATGCTTTCAGAGAGAGCCATTCATACACATATATGTGCACACGGTATCTTCTCTGACTGACCTCCCTCATTCTTAATCAGACCAATGTGGATTAAAAGTGTAGGTGTGATAGTGATGGCGGGGATGAGATTGTTGAGAATCTCCTTTCATATCCCTTTCTCAGCTACTTGAGAATTCATTATGTATGGTAAGTGTGTGAGTATGCCTTGCTATCTATCCATCCATTTCTCAGGCTCAAAGTTTGCATTTACTGCTGGATGCTATCCATTTGGACTTGGTGATCAAAGACAGGCAAGCAGATGCTCGATCATTTGATAATCATCTATTGTCACAGTCGGAAGCCCCCAGCACAGTCAGCAGATCTCATGTGCATTTCTCAGGCTGAGTTTGATGCCTGGAAATCATTTCAGCAGATCCCCCTCCTGTCACTCACCAGATGAGGGCATGCCACTAGAAAAAGTCTAGCATAAAATAGCTTTCTGAATATTCTATTTGAAAAGCCTGAGAATTGTTAGTTTGCAAAAGAGAAAACATGGAAGGGGAGAATGAAAATAGCCTTAAAGTGTGTGAAAAATCTTTTTGATTGATGATGATAGTAATGATGAGGATCATGATGATGATGGTGATGGTAGTGGTGGTGGTGGTGGTGGTGGTGGCAGCCTTTATTTAAGTTTTGCAGAGCACTTTACAAATGTGATTTCATTTGATCCTGACAAAAACAGTGCGACAGAGGTGCTATTATTATCCCAACTTTACAGATTAGGGAAATGAGACTAAGGGGTTAAGCAACTTATCCAGGGTCACACAACTAACAAATGTCTAAGGCTGATTTTGAACTCGGGTCTCTAGACCCAGCATTCTCTCTACCATGCAGCCTAGAAAAGAAATTAGACTTGCCTTGTTCAGTCCCAAGGTATAGAATAAGGGGTCGTTGTTGGAAGTTGCAGAGGCGTAGATTTAGCCTTACAAGGAGAGAACATTTCCTAACAATATGAGCTGTCCCAAAGTGTAATGGATTGGCCTAGGAAGTTCAGTTCAGCTCAGTAAGTATGTGCGTTGGACCAGGTCACTGAGCTAGGCACTGGGGATACAACAGTCCTGAAGAGCTTACTTTCTACCTCCGATTCCCCTACTGGAAGTCTTTAAACAAGGGCTGAGTGACTATATGTTTTAGTAGGGTGTTGTTTTTTCCAGTGGGTGAATTATTTATTTCTTAAGTGAATTAAATAGCCACAGATGTCCCTTCCAACTCTGAGATTCTGCAATTTTATATTGTCAAAGAATTGTAAACTCATGACGCTTTTACAGTGGGAACATCTCTGCCTTCTACCTCCATCCCCTCACTCACAACTGGCCTAAGCCCAACTGGCCAATAGGGAGCAGCTCTCCATCAACATTATCTCTTCAAATGGAGAGAATGTTTTCTGGCCTCTAAAAGGAGATTTAATCACTCTCTTAAGGGTTACTCACAAATAGCTTTTTTGTTGGCTCCAGGGTGACATTGATTTCCTAATCATTGAGATTCTTTTTATTTTTTTTTGTCAAAAAGTCTAAGAATTGAACTGTCAGAGATGCCAAGTCTTTCTGAAATGAAAACTGTTTAAAAGGGTAGGCAAGCTGGCTATGAGGGGCCTGACATAAACCCAATGTGCTTTTATTCTGCACCTATTTTTGAAGGTATATGCATAGATAAACAAGAAGTCTTATTTCTGCTGCTCTCTGCCTATGCAATATGAAGAGTGTGACTTTATATGTTTGGGCCTTGGTTTTTTCATCTGTAACATCAAGGCTAATTGAGTTGATGATCTCTAAGATTTCTTCTCACTCTATAGCTCCAAGTGCTTTTGAAAAAGAAATGTGTGTATTTATGGTATGTCTCTATGTTTCCTTTGTTCAGGAACTGAAGGACCCTCACTGTAGGGATGAGATGGCAGCTGCCCGAGGGGCTCTGAAGAAGAATGCCACTATGCTGTACACAGCATCCCAAGCATTTCTCCGTCACCCAGATGTGGCTGCCACAAGGGCCAATCGGGACTACGTGTTCAAACAAGTCCAGGAAGCGATTGCTGGCATTTCAAATGCAGCTCAGGCTACTTCACCCACTGATGAAAACAAAGGGCACACTGGCATTGGAGAGCTGGCAGCTGCCCTCAATGAGTTTGACGTGAGTATCACAATGACATGCACAAGCAATCCTCCCTTCTACTGGGAAAGGTTTTTGGGGAAATTGGAACAAAACAATATCAAACAAAACATTTCTTTTCACACACAAATTTTATCAACACCACTTCTGGTTTTATAAAACTCCAGAGGACTAAGGAAGGATTTACATACTCTAGCTAACTGTGAAGTAAGGAACCCTAATGGGTTCATAGGCCACAGAAACCTTGTACAGTGCTACCTTTCTTAGTGAAGAGCTAATATGCTAGTGGTATGTCCCATAGTCATAAATGACAGGAAAGGACACAGAGAGGCATACAAGGACTTGGCACCTGGGTGAAGGATTCTCTTCATCCTTTTCATGATGTGCATACCTGATCATTTTAGATTGCATAGAAGACTCTTCACCTTCTATAAGGATATTGGGTTTTTTTTGTTTTTTATTTTTGTTTTTCTGTTTTTTTGGGGTTTTTTGCCCAAGTGACATTGAAGTCAAGTATAGTCATAACTAGGGGATGTCCCTCTCCCAATCCCAGGTGTCTGGCCATGAGAATCTCAAGGAAAGATGACTCTCTCTCAACTTGGCCTTGAACTGACACTTAAAGGCCTGTCTTCGCTTTAATTCACTAGACATTTGTTGTGCTTATTATGTGCAAAACACCATAGATGAGAATTTGCTTTGCAAATCTAGTGTGTCCAAATCTAGTTAGTTACATATCCATTTGCAAGACTAAAAATGTACAGTCAGTTCCAGTCTGCAATTATTGCTCTATGGTAGGTGTTGTGGGGACTAAAAAGGGATATTAAGCATAATTTCTTCTGTATTCAACCTTGATGTGTAATAAATGGAATAAAATTGGCACACAGATAATTATATATCCAAGACTAAAGTAATAAGAAATTAAAAAAAAACTAATAATAAGTATTATAACTAAAGTGCTTCTGGGGCTTGGAGGAAGGATGTTCAGGCAGAGTTCATTAAAGAAATGGAGGTTTAATAGAAGGAACACTGGATTTTTAGTCTGAGGTATGACATATAAAAAAGTTCAAGAGAGTTTCTGGGTAATTAGTCATTTTTATTAATCATGCTAGTGGATAATTAACAAAAGAGGTCAGTGGCACTCTCAAATGCCAAAGACCCCTCATGGAATCCACTCGATGCTTATGTGCCCTATATATGCCCTTATATGCTTTATGTAGGTGTTTTTTTAGAGTGGCAATCGACTTTGATTGGTTAAGAAGTAATGAGAGAATAGATATTATAATGAGAGATTAGCTTATTCTAATAAGAGTCTGGAGGATGTTACTCTGATCACTCAATCTTGGTAAGAGACTTATCTATACCCTTATCACCTCATCTAGGGTAAATAGGCAAATGAGGAGATTTACTTCTATCCAGACCTGTCTGAGTAAAACATAATTGACTGGAATCCATCAATTCACCTAAACTAAAATTTCTTAACCTATTGAACAGATCTGAGTTTCCCAGTAGGATGTGTCTGCCCAAGATTTCATTTCTTTATCCACCCTGCCCTTCAAATGCTGACTAAATAGCCTATAGGGAATGAGGAAATAGAAGGGGGAGACCCTGTTCCTAATTCAATAATTCATAATTAATATAAGAGAGAAATGATCAGGACCTAGCTTGCATCACAGTTGTTACTTAATATCCATATGATCTTGATCACCAAGAACATTTGGTTGAATCTAATAATAGGATGACATTTCAAAGGAAAAAAATGTAAAGTCTCATGGCTGGGTTCAAGAATTCAAGGTTACGAGTAGAAAAGAGGGAAGACATAGTTGTCTGAGAAAGATCCAGGGGTTTTAATGAACCACAAGCTCAATGATGTTGAGCAGAATGATGTTGCAGCCAAAATTTTAAGGTGAACTTGGGATACATGAAAAAAATAGCTTCCAGGAATAAGGAGGTAAAAGAACCTTTGCTACTCTGCCCTTGTAAGACTGTACCACTTCCAGAGCCTGCAATTTAGCAATGGGCTGGATAAACCAGAGAGAGAATAGTCAGGATAGTAAAGCACCTTGACAATTAGTTGAAGGAACTGGGGATGTAGAGTAAGGAAAAGAGAAGTTATCATAGCTGTCTTTAAATGCCAAAAAGATTATTACATCGATTAATCTTCTTGGTCATGGGGGTCAAAACTAGGCGCAGTAGCTTAAAGCTGAAAATGGTTAAATGAAGACCTTATATGAATGGTGATAATGGTGGGACACTTTCTAAAAAATTAACTAGCCAGAAGTGGAATGGATTGTTTTGGGAGATAGTTGTTTGCTCTTCATTGGACATCTTCAAGTAGAATCTGAATGACAAGTTGAATATCTTGTAGTGTAGATTGATTTGGGGGTAATAATAGCTACCATTTATATAGTACTTTAAGGTTTGCATAGCATTTGCCTATATTTCATTTTATCCCCACCATAACCCTAAGAGTTAGGAACTCTTATTTTCCTCAACTTACAGATGAGGAAACTGAGGCCTAGAGAGATTTCAATTGATTGCCCAGAGTCATATAGATAATTTGAGTCAGACCAGATTGAACTCAGGTCTTTCTGAATTATAGTTCAGCACTCCATCCACTGTGCCACCTTGTTACCTATGTTTTTAAATTGTGAATTTCTGTGATTTTTGTTTCTGTGATCTTCAGATCTAAATTCTATACTCCTCTAAGTTTTAAGGATGTAGGAATGGACCAGGGTGAAGAGGACATTAGTCATTCAGAAGAAAGGAGTAGCATGAACAAAGATCTAAGTGTGGAAGGAGGTCATCATGTTTGGAGAATACTGAGAAATCTTATTTGACTATAGCATAAAATAGTGGAATTTAGAGCTAGAAGGAGAGTTTAGTGTGAACCCACCATTTCACACACACACACACACACACACACACACCTCTCCTCTTGAATACTAGTCTGGAACTTATCTCTTAGGCAATAAGGGGATGGTATAGCAGAGTAACATGGTCCTCTCTATGTCTTGAGGAGACTGATCCAACTGTACTCTGCGGGATGGATTTAAAACATGAAAAACTACAACTGGGGAGACCAGTTAGTTTGCTATTGTGGTCATCTTAGCCCAGAATATTGAAGGATTTAACCAAGATGTTGGCATTGGAAACAGAAAGGAAAAATGGAAAAAAAAAATGATTTTGTGATTTATATCGTGTTAAGGATTGTGAAGCACTTTGTGTCCAGGATCTCACTTGTAAAGATGAGGTCACATAATCACAATAAAAGGTTGAGTAATCTGCCAGTAAATGTGAGAAATGGGCCATAAATGCAGGTCTTCCCAACCCAATGGGCTACCCTAAAGTACACCAACAATCTGCCTTTTACTCCAAACATAGTACACTGTTGAGTTGATAGCATTATAGATTTTGGAATCACACACATTGAGGTGATAATTGAAGCTAAGAGAGAAACTTGCCCAGGGTAACACATCTAGTAAGTTAGTTAGGTAGAATTTGAACCCAGGTCTTCCTAACTTGAAGATATAGTCAGAGACATTTTTCTTTAATATGATAAAACATGCTTTACTTTAAATAAGAGCTAATTGTGGTGGTAATAACTAACCATATGTGAATTAATGATGCCAATATAAGCATATACATTAAGACACAAGAGCTTACATATTGGGTATCAGACCATATAACTCCTATATGTAACTTTATTTTTTATTGTTATACAGTTTGGTATTTTATCTACCTTTCTCATTCCAGGTTCTCTTTCCATACAGTCAAAGAGTTCTTTTTTTTTTAATTCTATTTGGTGTGAATCCATGCAGTTATCAGTCAATAGATCAAACTGAATTCACACATTTTCTCATTAGCAGTAGTTAAATATTAGAATGCCATAGGTAGGATGTAGTTGACCCATTCAAGCTCTTCCCTCACACATACTAACAAATATTCTAAAAATATCCTTACCTATGGTTTTTGAACATTTCTCTCACTGAAAACTAAAATCACCAACTTTCTTCAGTTTATGGCAGACCTGCAATTTGACAGTGCCATATAACCATATTAGGGATTCTCTGATGTGCTCTATCAATCTTGCTAGTCTAGCATTAAATTGGAAATGCACATACCTCAGGCTCAATTTTAGAATGCTATTCCTAGAACTACTATTAACTTGCTCACTTTTCCTAGGGTTGAAATGAATTAAGCTTCCTGTTATCACTTTTCTTATATTCTATTATTCTACTGAATGGGCATTTTATGCATGTTAATGACATAAGTATAATCAAGATTTAAATGAGTAGAATGCTTTGGGATCTCCAAATGAAAAAGACGATTCAATTACAAAGTATAAAAGGCATCAATAACATCAATAAATTAAGTACATCTTTAAAATACTGTATTTCAAAAATAGAAATACTTTAAATGTTATGGAAGACAATAAATAATGTACTACAAATCCAAATATAGTAATGATGTTACATACTAATGTGCTTCATTTCTGTCTACCAAATATGAAAATTTTTCTTTGATCTGTTTCTCTTCAAATAAGTCATAATTGAGTAAGATGCTCCCAAATTAAACGTGTAAAAACAATATATCAGTAATCAAAAGTGCATAATATTGTGACCTGTTGCATAATGCTATTGACTGATTTCTAGCTTCATAGTTACACATCACAATCCAAGTAAAGGCTTGTTGTTACCCTCTGTTTTGGTTTTTTTTTTTTTTTGAAACATTGGCTTTGTTTGTAGCCTGGTAATCTCAATGTAATTTGGACTCAGTGACCTGTTTTCTGACACTTATTATGACTAGACATCTAAATTCAACATAGTGATTTCTGAAGTGAAAGAATGCGATAAAAGCAGAGGTTTAATGACTGGAAACTGTCATATGAGAGCCTGGTGCTAAAATAGCAAAAAAGAAAATGATTGGTAATCAAATGAAAAATCAGACTCTGTCAAAAATGTGGCAGCTCAAAATTGTTCATTTCAGTCCAGTGTCTTTGCAACTTCTGAAATGACATGGGA